GCTTGTGACTTCTCTTCTGCTGTCATAGTCCATTCTCAGGCTCTGTGTGCAGTAATCGCTGGGAAGTGGCTTTCCTCAGCCTCCCTCGCTCACTCTCAGCCTGTGCTAAATGAACGTGAAAGCACCACATTGCGAGTGGTGTCCGCCTGGCCCTGTGGTGGCTCTCAAAAGCGCCTGACAGGCATGCAGACCTCCAGTACCATTGGTGCATGAGTTGATGCAAAACCACAAGACTCAGAGCCCTGCCTGTGAGCTTTGGTTGGTGTTTTGAGATTTGCTTTCCAGTTGATTTGTATGTGAGTATGTGTGTATGCGTGTGCCCATGGGTGCACTGGTCTTAGGGCTTGAACCTCAGTCTGTCCCTGAGATTCTTTTTCTCAAGGCTAGCCACAGTGTCAATTCTGCCCTTTTCTGAGTGGTTTATTGGAGATAAGAGTGGACTTTCCTGCCTGGGCTGGCTTCAGTGGCCAACCTCGGATCTCAGCCTCCGGAGGCAGTTCTGCTCCAGTTCCCCTGCCCTGCCCTTCCTTCCCCTCCCCTCTTTTTTCTTTCTTTCTTTCCCTCCTTCCTTCTTCCCTTCCTGTCTTGCCCTGTCCTGGAGTTGAACTCTGGGCCTAGGTGCTATCCCTGAACTCTTTTTGCTCAAGGCTAGCACTCTACTGCTTGAGCCACAGTGCCACTTTCAGCCTTTTCTATGGTTAATTGGAGATAAGAGTCTCACAGACTTTTCTGCCTTGGCTGGCTTTGAACCATCATTCTCAGATCTCAGCCTCCTGAATAGCTAATATTATAGGCATGACCCACCACCACCTAGCTTTTTCCAAGTTGATCTTTTTAATTTTATTTTTATTTATTTTTTTGGGTGGGGGTCCAATCGTGGGGCCTGAACTCTGAACACTGTCCCTCAGCTCTTCAGCTCAAGGCTAGCGCTCTACCACTTGAGCCACAGCGCCACTTCCGGCTTAATCTTTGTTAAAAAAAAGTGAACTGTTTAGCCTGAAAAGCTCTTAGAGATCTGGATTCAACTCATTTCTGTTGCTGCTTCCTGCAGTTTCCTTCCCTTTTTTTGGTCGGTTGTGGGGTTTGAACTCTGGGCCTGAGCGCTGCCCCTCAGCTCTTCCCCTCAAGGCAAGCACTCTACCACTTGAGCCCAGCTCCTCTTCTGGATTTCTGGTGGCTAATTGAAGATAAGAGAGTCATGGACTTTCCTGCCTAGGCTGGCTTTGAGCTGCGTTCTCAGATCTCAGCCTCCTGAATAGCTAGGATTACAGGCATGAGCCACCAGCATCGGCTGCTTGCTTTTTAATCTCAGAGAAGGAAAGATAATTGTGGAGTGTCTTGGTTATTAAAACATGGGTGATCCAGGGGAAATTACTCTTTGTAGACTGGCTTGCTCTTTTGATGTTTCTCAAGTATCTGGGACTGCTGGCTATGGCCTAGGGATAGTATGTAGTCACATTTACCAGTGAAGACTGCAGTTCTGCAGCTAGCTAGGTATGGTGGCTCCTACCTGTAATCCTAGCTGCTCAGGGCCAGAAAAATCCTTGAGACTATAACTAACAAAAAGCCAGGCTGGAGGCATGGCTCAGCAAATAAGCCGAATATAAGGCTCCTGAGTCTAAATAATGTATTAGTTTATATCACTATATTAGGGATCATAAATAATCAATACTGGGTGTGGGGGAGGGGAGGGGAAGGTTGACCAGTTGTCTTCTCTCTGCTTTAAATCACCTTTTCATTCTCTTCATTCTTAGAACTCTCACTTATTTGAAGCCCCTAAGATATCTCTGTGTGTGTGTGTGTGTGTGTGTGTGTGTGTATGTGTATGTGTGTGTGTGAGAGAGAGAGAGATTAGCCATTGGGTGCATTTTTAATAGTGTGACTGTGGTCTGTGGTTTCCTTGATTCTTTACATGGAACCATTTTGTCCCAGTGTAAACAGCATGAAATTTTTGCAATCAACCTCTGGCAGGTCAAGATGCACCTTAGAAGTGCTCTGAGCTTTGACAGTTGTGAGGAAAGGTCTGGGGGACAGACTGAGAAAAGTTAGGGCCCAGGGTCAGGTTAGTGGATGGGACACTGGGGAGCAGAGCTTGGGGTCTAATGAAATGATGTGCTTTCCTCAGCACATTCCTGCCTTGCCAACTGGTCATCCTGTGTCAGTGACACTCTCTCGTATGCTGGGGGTGGAACCCGGGCCTTGTACAGGCTAGCCAAGCGCATACTACTGAGCTACTTCCCTATCCCTTGGCTTTTTGAGTCAGAGTCTTGCTATATAACCCAGGTTTGCCTTGGACTCATGGTCCAAAGCCTTTGCCTCCTGAGTGCTGGGATTGCAAGGTGTGCTCTACCACGCCTGGCTGTGCATTTCTTACTGGTTTTGTTGCTGTTGTTGTTTGTGAGGAGTTTTTGTAGTTTGTTAGAGATAAAAATACAGACTTTTCTGGCTTTGGACCACTATCCTTGGATCTCAGCCTCCTGAGTAGTTAGGATTACAGGTGTGAGCCACTGGTACCTTTTTTCTTTTTAATATAGTCTTCCCTCTTTATCTGTGGGATTCATCTGAGTTCAGTCAACCAGTTGTCTCTCTGAAAGATGTGCAGAGTTTTTACATCTGAACAATAGAATATAGCAGCTGTTTACATAGCATTTCTCATTGTATTAGGAATCATAAGTAAGCCAGAAATGATTTACAGTATGTGGAGAATGTGCATGGGTTTTGTGTAAGTGCTCTGTCATTTTATGTAAGGGACAATAGGATCTAGGGATATGGGTATGCATGAGGGGTCCTGGAATCAGTGCTTTGCAGGTACCGAGGAACAACTGTATGTACTCTGGGAGTCTCTGGATGTTTGATACTTTAACATGAATGTAGAAGTGAAGGCTCTGCCATTTTCTAAACAGCTGTGGCCAGTCGTTGGATAGGTAAAGTAAGAAGAGCAGAGCAAGTGGTGATGCAACACATCATTAAAGTGGAGCTTTAGAAAAGTTATTTTGAGGGCTGGGGGATGTAGCTCATGAGTACAGAACTTACCTAGAATGTGCAAGACCCTCTTCAATCCCAGCTCCACAAGCGGGGGAAAAAATTAATTTACTGCACAGCTTGCCTTCCTTCCTTCTCTAACCAGCAACTCCGAAAATAAGATTATCTCAGAGTTTTACATTGGAAAAAGAATGTTCCCAAAGGACTGTGAAGACTGCCCTGAAGCCAGGGAATGAGCTGGTATTTCTCCAGCATTACAGATATGCTGGCCCTGGAGATTTCTGTAGGCTCATGCTGCAGTTCAAAATGCAAGATGGTTTATAGTCAACACACCCCTCTTAGGGTCTAAAAAGAACTTGAGACTCGAGTGGCTGAGGAGCCATTTTATACTCTATATGGTGTTGCTGCTAGCTCTGAAGTGGCCATTGCTGGTGTATTTATAACACTAGCTCAGAGCCTGAGGGAGGTGGGAACAAATGCCTGCTTGGAGAGGGTCCAGCTGTGGGGTTGGTGTGTTCCGGCTGGCTGGAAGAGGCAGATTTCAAAGACTTGCTTTGGGGGATAAATCACCAGATTTTAATTGCTCTTCCTCTCTCCATTTCAAAGATTTTTCTGAGTTGTTCCAGAAATCTGAATCTGATTAGCCTTTCTTTAGGTTTTCAAATGCTTGCCCACAGAAGAGCCTTGGAGACCTATAGAATACATTAGTTTCATAGAAAAGATATAAAAAGACCTGATTTTAAATGGAGCTTGGTTGATACATCTGTCAATATCTTGTTCTCCTTGACAGTATCAAGGGGAGGTAAGAACAGGCAAGTGGAGGTACCTACAGGTGGTACGTTTGGGGGTTAGACTGCAGACAAGTCCCATCCCCTCCACTAAACAGGGCTTTTTGTTGGTTTGATTTTTCTGACAGGTTAATTTGCTTCCTAAAACTTCATCTCCTCTGGAAACTGGTGTAACAATGCCTACTTTGTTGGGAGAGTTAAATGTGACACGAGTTAGCTGCCTGGCATTCTTTGTCAGGGTCACAGAACACACACTTGGACACCATTTGTGAGCTGTGTAAGCTACTGTGTAATGTCATGCAGTGGGCAAGCTTTTTAAGACAACAAATTATTAGTGAATCTTTTCACATCCCTACCCAGGGTGTGTGGAGCCAGAGCGAGACTGGAGTGGGAGAGGGGAGTAGCAGTGGGTAGAAGAATTCTGGTGAGTGTATCTTGGCATGCAGATTTGTTTGGAAGATACAATACTTTCTGGTAGTGTGTACAGTTTGAAGGGTCAGGTGATTTGTGGTGGGTAATGAATACTACTTACTTATTTAGGTATGTATTTATTGATGCCTATCCTAGGGTTTGAACACAGGGCTTAGGTGCTGTCCTTGATCTTTTACTCAAGGCTAGTGCTCTGCCACTTGAGCCACAACTCTATGTCTGGCTTTTTCGGAGTAGTTTATTAGAGATAAGAATCTCCCAGACTTTCCTGCTTGGGCTGGCTTTGAACTACAGTCCTCAGATCTCAGCCTCCCGAGTAGGAGGCATGAGCCACTGATTTCTGACTTGGAATATTTTTTAAAATGCTGTTCTTTTTGCTAAGACATTTTAAAGAGGTGAAGACCATTCCATTAATAGCACATGCTGAAAGAGAAGGTTTGGGTATGTATTTTAAAATACGGTTTAAAATAAAAATGTTGGATCTAGCAGAGACTCTTAGGGGAAGGATATTTTTACAGAAGGGAAATTTAGGAAAGAGGCCTATGTAAAATAATATATAATGAAGTGTTGCTTTTAGCTGCTGACGGATGAGTGGCGTTTGATGTATCCCCTAGGAAGACTAGTCTGGGGTGAAGACCACAATTGGGGATGGGTCTGGAAAAGGGTAAAAGGCATATGAGTGTGTGGTTCAAGTTAAAGGACATCTGGTAGGTCTTGTGTGGAAGGTAAAAGCATCCTGGCTTCGCTGTATGTTTTCTACAATCACTCATGTGTGCCTTGTTTTGTTTGTTTTGCCTCTAGGATGTGGAGAAAGAGAAGGAAACTCACAATTACCTCAGTAAAGAGGAAATCAAAGAGAAGGTTCACAAGTACAACTTAGCTGTCACAGACAAGTTGAAGATGACCTTGGTAAGTACCCCTAAACATACCCATCAAAAGATAAATATAGAGCTGGGAATGTAGCTTAGTGGTAGAGTGTTTGCATGGGATGCATTAAGCCCTGGGTTCGATTTCTCAGTATTACATAAAGAGGTGCTGTGGCTCAACTGATAGAGTGCCTTGAGCAAGAGAAGCTCTGGGATAGTGCCCAGGCTCTGAGTTCAAGCCCCAGGACTGCCCCCCCCACAAGAAAAGATAAATATAAATTAATAGGAAAGTTTGTGTATTTAAAAGTATCTGAATCACATTTGCAGAAGTTTGTTCAGTGATCAAGATATTCAGACCAGGAAAATCGATTATTTCAATACCTTTCAAGTTAAGTCCTATTTTGAAGTAGCTTTGTAAGAAATAAGCAGAGTTTAATTGTAAAAAGTAAAATGTGCCAGTTGTGGTAATTCCTGCTACAAAAGAGATGGAAATAGGAGAATCTTGGATCCAGACCAGTTGGGGCCTAAAATGTTATGGGAGACGCCTCCTTAACAAATAGGCTTATATGGTGGTACATGCTTATAATCCCAGCTAGGTAGAGCAGAAGTATAGGTAGGAGGATCATGGTCCAAGACTTGTACCAGGCACAATTGCACCCTACCTAAAGGAAAAGGGGTTGGGATGTGTGATTCTAGGATATGTGATTCTATGCTTCCTAGGAAGCATAAGGCCCCGAGTCCAAATACCATTACCACAAAAGGGTAGAAAAAGTAAAACATTTTAAAATTACATATGAAAAGATTTATGACTTCCCTCCCCATGAAGGATTTTTATTCTTGTATAACAGGTATAGCTCAGATTCTAAGACCTCAAATGACTTCTATTTTGTGTGAAATATATATGGAAGTGTTACAAAGATTTTTCTGCCCATGGATTGAAATCTAATTAAGATTCCTCCACACACACTGGGTTGTTAGTGTATGATTGAAGAGTACAGTGTTCAGCTTCCTGCTGGGTGGTGTTACAGGTGCTACCACATTGTCTCACACTGTTGGCCACACAGTGGGGAATGGGGTGTGGGAGTGGGAGGCAGCAGGCAAAAGTGAAATGAGAGCTCACAGCAAAGCTTATAGTTCCTGAGGAAGTGACAAGCATCTCTGCCTACTCATGAAGCGTCACATGGAAGGCATGCCCATATCTTCCGTTCTGTTTCTGACATCCCTTGGTGCTACATTCCAGGGTTGTGGGACCCCTGCTTTTTTAACCTGTAGAGATAATATTGTCTGTGAACTGATAGCAGGGCAATCTATGTGAAACAGCCTCAAATTTGGCAAGCCTTGGGGAAGAGCTTTTAAATATAAACCCTTATGATAAAGGAGCTCTCTCTCTAGTGGCACTTTGCCCCAGGGGGAATGGCAGATAATCACAAGAGTATGTTCCCTTATTCTAAAGTGAGGTTTCTTTTTCCTCCCTCTTTCCTTCTTTCCCTTTTGCCTCCCTCCCTCCCTCCCTCCCTCCCTCCCT